TGTGTGTGTGTGTGTGTGTGTGTGTGTGTGTGTGTGTGTAGTTGTTGAGCCAGCTGAAAGGAAACCTGGAGGAGGAGAATCGTCACCTGTTGGATCAGATCCAGACTCTGATGCTGCAGAATCGCACACTGCTGGAACAGACCATGGAGAGCAAAGACCTGTTCCACGTGGAGCAAAGACAATACATGTAAACCAAACACGTTGTCTGTTTATAATTCCATTTGTTTCTGGATTTGTTGCATTTTCACTCTGGTCTCATCTCTACTGCTTCAGAGACAAGCTAAATGAGCTGAGGAGACAGAAGGAGAAGCTGGAGGAGAAGATCATGGATCAGTACAAGTTCTACGACCCCTCACCTCCACGCAGGTAAAAAAAACAACTTGCATTATTAAATAAAGATTTGAAGAAGTCAAAGAAAAACTGCCCAAAAATAACGATTGATTGACAGTTATTAGATCGATGACGTAAACATGAGGGGTGTAACAGTGGGGAATCTTCGTGACACATACAAATCAGTGTATCATGTATAAGTATGATGTTGTTGACTCTTATCTCTGAGGGGAGGAAATGACTGCAGCTTCAGGAAAGAGAAGCATCAAATATTAATGTTCTGCAGAGCTTTAAAGGGTTGTGTACTGCAGTGTTTTTATCTTGAGAGGCAGAAACAAAGCCATGACGTGGTGAACACACAGGAAACAGAGCAGACAGTTGAAAAGCTTCCAACATCTTTATTTGACCTCTTCTCATTGCTCCTGTGGTTCCCGGTAGACTCTGTCTCACTCTCCGTCTCACTCTCTGTCTCCCTCCTCGTCTCGTCTCTCCTCTGTAGGCGTGGCAACTGGATCACTCTGAAGATGAGGAAGCTCATAAAGCCAAAGAGCCGCGAGAGGATGCGTTCGCTCACGCTGACTCCGTCTCGTTCGGAGTGCGGCGACGGCTTCCTGAGCTTTCCCCAGGACAGCCAGGACAGCTCGTCCATCGGCTCTGGCTCCAACTCGCTGGACGACACGCTCACACAAAAGAGGAGCAGCAGTGAGTACAGACAAAACGACATCAACACACACACAGGACGCAGAACCAAAGATTCAAAGTCAGCATAGTTACAGTTTCAAACGTGACCGGAGGAACTTTTCTGAGCATCAAGATTAATGAGACAACTCTGCTTTACCAACACAAAATACCCAGAATAAAAAATACTTCAAAATAAAGTTTTTAGAAAGTTGCTCGGAAGTTTGATGCTGAATGTTGTTTCACTGACGCATAATAATGACGCACAAATTACAAGAAATCACACTACTGCTGTGTGTGTGTGTGTGTATGTGTGTGTGAGTGAGTGTGTGTGTGGGTCTCTCTTCCTCTAACTGCTCCTTTGCTTCTTTATCTCTCTCTCTCTGCAAAGGGAGGAGAGGGCAGCACAACCATGCCCAAGGGCAGGGTTCCACCAATGGTATGCCGCGGATGGRAAGGGTGGGCGGGGTTTGTGACCCGACTGTAACGTCTCTCAGGGCATGTTTTCGTGAGTCCATCGTCTGTGTCTCTCGACTGTCCTAGAGGTTACGGCTGAGCTGTGCAGCGGCACGAGGTTGACGCTCGAGCACAGAACTGCTATCTGTGACATTACGTAAAGTAGTTTTATTTTGAAACACTATTTCTCAGTTGTCAACCCGCTGATCTGTGCAGTTCACCTGTAACTGAGACAGAAACGCCCTCTAACGTAGCATCAAAGCTATTAAATGGTGCAATGCAATGCAGCTCACTTCCAGTCAAAGCCACACGTTAAACTCCAGGTTGGTCACTTGTGCTCAAAACAAATAGGTTAACGTCTTTTATGACACAATAATTTATATAGGAGCAAATCCGTATGTTT